AGGTTAAAGAAGATCCTAATAGAAACGTTATAAACATAAGAATGTATACCTGAATCGGAAAAGAAACCGACTACCTCTTTTAGGAAGAAGATAAAATTCGGATGAAGCAGATAAGCTGAGTTGGTTAGAACCTCGTGCTGATAAAGTGTTAAGAAATGAGAGCACAATAGAACAATATACTAATGAAGACAAAATATATATATGAGGGAGAATGATCTTGGTGTGTTATTCATAGGGTCAAAAGTTCCCTATTTATAAAGGTAAAAATACATTTAAAGGTTATAAGTTAATATACTTCTTAATTGAGTATATGAATACAAAGTACGTTAAATGGACAGACAAATACATTCCTCTCACTCTCATGCCTTCATCTCATTTATAACAATTATATATATGAACTATAATTACAATTGAACTCCTTTCCAACTCAATTAAAATTTTATTATTGACCTTTTCTATTATATTTGAAAATCACACTCATTAGAACAAAAAACTATAAAAAAAAAGGAGAGAGAGAGAGATTGGTAGTTGATAAAAGTCAATCCTGAATCAACAGACATTAGCGGCATCTTTGACGAAGAAGAGCAGATTAGGGCTTTTTCTCCGGAAGCTGCTAATCGACGAACTGAGCTAAAAATCACGTCTATAGCTGCTAATTCGCCTGCAGAGAAGATGAAATTTGTCATGGATACTCATGTAAGCATAGGTGCACTGGAAAGGTACATATGTAAGCAATGAAACTTTACTGCTAAACCGAAGATCTATTTACACAATGATGGATGTTTTGTTGTGAAGTTCATTGGTGATGGTTTTAGTCCATTGCTTATCCAGGATACATCAAAAATCTCAAGTCAATGCAGCGAAAGATGAGGGGCAAGGTGGAAAGATGATGAATAAGGGGGTACCACAAGTCATTCACTATTTATATGAAACTTGTCACTTGAAAGTTGAAACGTGAGAGGGTTGAATAAGTTGTATAAACAGAAGGAACTTAAGTCTTTTATTATTGAAAATAAAATTAGTATACTTGCTCTTTTGGAAAATAGGGTGAAGGAGCAGAAGGCTAGAAGTATTATTGAGAAAATTGCTAAAGGATGGGCATGGCATGCTAATTATCATTATAGTAATAGAGACAAGATATGGATAATATGGGATATAAATAAGCTAAATTTTCAATGGATATCTATGACAGATCAACTTATACATGGCTATGTAAAATGCTTAACTATGACGAACGAGTTCTATTTTACTAGAGTGTATGATTTACATACAGTGGAAGATAGAAGAGGTTTATGGCTGCAGTTGAGTGACTTGGCAAATGGAATTCAAAATAATCGGCTTATCATGGGAGATTTCAACACAATTTTGAGACAGGGGGATAGAATCAATGAAAATGCAGTAATGGAGGTTGAAATCAGGGACTTTAAGATTTTATTATAGATACTGGGATGTGTCTGAGAACCGTTAGGAGGGAGTTCACTTGGACTAATAGTCACATCTTTAGCAGAATTAATTGGGCGCCGAAAAATACGGAATGGATGACCCATGTAATTCAAGTAGATGTGGAGATATTAGACCCCAACTTCTCTGTTCATTCTCCTTTATGTGTCAGTTTTGTTGAAACGATTAATAATAGACCAAGGCCTTTTAAATTTTTGAATCATTTGGCAGACCATCCTGAGTTCTTGATAAACGTTGCAGCAGGTTGGGCAAAGTTGTTATGGAAAATTCTATGAAAAGAGTATGGCTGAAATTGAAGAATGTTAATAAAGAAATGAAGTCATTAAACAACAAAGAATTCTCAAATGTGAAAAAACAAGATTTATAAAGGACACTTGAAGGGCTCTGGCAGTTTTGCAGGAACAAATGAGAGACTACTGACATGATGTAAGTTTGTCTGAAAATGAAAGAACTTTGAAGAAGGAACTGGAGAAGTGGTTATTGGTAGAAGAAAGTATATATAAACAGAAGTCAAGAATACAGTGGTTGCAATTGGGTGACGTAAATACAACTTACTTTTTTGCGAATGTTAAAAATAGAGTTGCACATAATTAGACTAAGAAACTGATGAACTCTTCTGGTCATTGGATTCAGACTGAAGCTGAAATTAAAGAGGAGATCATAGGATTCTACAAAAGATTACTTGGGACAACCACATTGTCCAGAGATATGTAGAAAAGGACAAATATTATCTAGAAGCCAACAACTATCCTTGATTGAACCAGTGACACAAAGAGAAATTTACCAAGCTATACGTGATATAGAAGAGGGATGGCTTCAATGCCCTATTCTTCAAGAAGGCTTAGTCAATGATAAGTGAAAATATTATTGTTGCCGTATTGCACTTTTTTGAGACCTCTGCCTTATATAAGCCAGATAATTATACTTTAGTGACCTTAATTCCTAAAGTGAAGAATCCTTCTTCAGTGAAGGAATTTAGGCCGATTTCTTGCTGCTCGGAGCTATATAAAATAATTTCTAAGATATTAACTATCAGATTGAAGAGGGCGATGGATAATCTCATTGATAATAGTCTGTCGGCATTTGTTCCTGGAAGAGTGTTAAGTGACAATATAATTCTAAGCCATAAACTGGTTAAAGGATATGGAAAGAAAGGGATATCCCCAAGATGTATGATGAAAGTGGATATGCAAAAAGCATATGATTCATTAGAGTGGGCTTTTGTTGAACAAGTGTTTACATATGAATTTCCTTAACAAGTTCATACAATGGGTTATGGAATGCTTGTAATCAGTGTCTTATTCAACTGGCATCAATGGTTGGCCTACTGAACCTGAGGCAGGGGGATCTTATGTCCCTATTCCTATTTGTACTGGCTATGGATTACTTCTCCAGGATGCTTAAAAGATTAGATGAGCAACCTGACTTCAACTACCACCCACAATGCACAAAATTAAAGAGATTCAGCTAGGGTTTACAGATGATCTACTACTCTTTTGTAGGGGTGACTTAATTTATGTGCAGATACTTTACAATTGTTTGCAAGAATTTTCTCAGGTTTCAGGTCTGGTAGCAAACAAGGAGAAGAGTTTTATCTATTTTGGAGGGGTGATAGAAGTAGTACAGAGGAATATACTGGAGATACTTGGTTTTACTAAAGGCGAAATATCATTCAAATACTTGGGAGTGCCACTTAGTACAAAAAGACTTTCAATAAGCCAATGTCAACCATTAATTGAAAGAATATTGGGAAGAATTACAAGCTGGACAACAAAGTTTCTCTCTTATGCAGGCAGAGTTCAATTGATCAAAAATGTACTTTTCTCAATCCAAATCTACTGGTCACAAATATTTGTCTTGCCTACGAAGGTGATAAAGCTTATTGAAGCAGCATGCATGAGATTTTTATGGACATGAGGTGTGGAGATGATAAAGAAAGCATTGCTTGCCTAGGAAAAAGTTTGTTATACTACTAGTGCTGGTGGTCTCAATATTCTTGATATATCTATATGGAACAAGGCAACTATCAGTAAATTATGATGGAACCTTTGTTGCAAAAAAGATAAACTTTGGGTTAAACGGATTCACAATTATTACATCAAGGGATGCCAGATTTGGGAAGCTGCACCTAAGCAAGCCTCTTGGGTAGTGCAGAAAATTTTGAAGATGCAGAGTCACCTTCAGCAAGCTGGGATTATGGAAGAAGATTTGAAATGTATGACAACATTTTCCACTATGAAGATATAAAGTGCAATGGAGGAAAATGGTCAGCAACAACTTTGGATCTCAAAAATGGGTATTCATCTTAATACTAGCAGCTCTTGAAAGATTGCCTACCAAGGAAAGATTGATGCACCGGGAGTAGTTGATAATCAAATATGTGCGCTTCTCAAGTTGATAGTATATCCCACATCTTTTTTCAGCATGATGTATCTGCACAGGTGTGGGACAAGCTCTTGTAGTGGCAAAGGATTGCTAGAACATCTATGACTTGGGCAGATGAATTGAGATGGGCTGAAGTTAACACAAAGGGAAGAAGTTCAAGTGCGGAGCTCTATAGGATGACCTTGGCAGCATGTGTTTATCACCTCTGAATTGAGAGAAATCAGAGGATTTTCCAGGCTAAACAAGCTGATCCCAAACAGCATTGTCAGAAGAATCATACAGGAAGTATTGTGCAGAGGATCCAGAGGAGCAGACTTACTAAGAAGCTTGAGAAGCTGAGTTATTATCCAGTTTAGTATAGTCTGTATTGTTTCATAGGGCGGAAGAGTGGATGTTAGTTGTGCTAGTTGTGTGCTATAGTTGCTCATCTGCAAGGTTTTGTCTTTTGACCGTACACAATGCTTTTGGTAATAAAATATTTTATTTACCAACAAAAAAAATGTCAATAACACTATCGATTTTGCAAACACAAAAATTCAAAAATAAAATATTTATTTTTTACCATTAAAAATAGAATATAATTGGATAAAATAGTAAGTTAAAATTTGGTATGGGCTAGCATTAACAATTCGAATCAACAAGAAAATAAAGTATTTTTTATGTGAGAAAAAATAATTGAGAATTAACTAATTAGCAAAATAATCCAATTCAATTTTTTTACGATTTATTATACAAATAAAATTATTTTTTTGAATTAACATAATAGAGTACGTAAATTGTGCTCTTAAGAAGAGAATCATCAGCAAAAGAAATTTAAAAAAAGAAGAGGAATATCATTTTTAATATAATATCAAATATCAAATTGATAAGTTGCTATTCATTTAACTCTGGCTTTTTGTCGTAGCTTTTATAACTAAATATGGAGTATAATTTTTTTAATATAATATTTATATAATTTTAAAAAAGTTTATATTAATTGAGTTGGGTACGCGTGCGTATTTATCGACATAGTTAAATAATAAAAACATACATAAAAGACTCACATTATGTAATTAATTAGTTTAATGTAAACAATGCTGAGTAAGCTTTTCATTCTTGACTTGCAGACCTAGTTACTATAGTTAGAAAAATACACGAAAAAATGTTTTCGGGGAAAAAGAAGTGGTTCACAAACAAAATATACAATTTTATTTCCACAAAAAAGTTTCAAAATGGGACTAGTAGGGGTTTAGCTGCACGGGGAGGGTTTAGCACTGCCTTTTGTGAGTTGCCTCCTTTTTCTCATATCGATTTTTCCTTTGTAGCTGGTAAACTCAATCACTCCATTCATTCTCTTCTCTATCAGCTGAAGTTTGAATATTCGTTGGAGCTGATTAATGTGTAATTAATTCGTTTTTCTTTGTGCTGAATCTGGAGCATGGCTTTGTCCATTTCAAGGAGGCTTTTGTGTTCTGTTGCTTCTCTAAATTCACTTGGTCGCTTGGGTTCTCCACTTTCTGCTTCTAATGGTATTCCTTTTTTCACTTCTTCACAAACCCTACTGGTTTTTTATCAAGATTCTATTGAAAAATCAAATCCTTATTATAAAATCTAGCTTCAGGTGGATCCAAGATTTAAAGTTAGTGGGTATAGAGTAATACACACGCACATACATCACCCACTATATTTTTGTTATAATGGGTGCAGGATTAATATAAAGATTGTATCTTTTCATTTATTTTTTGTTTGTAATTATTAGTATGTATAGTTAGTGCAGAAGGCAGTGGTGTGCCTATATCTGCTGGCTTACTGTTGGATCTGCCTATGTCTTTTTAGTAAGGGGATTCAAATATATCCAAACTTGTGACCTAAAATAATTTTTCAACTACCTTTGCCACTACAAGGGGATGAAAAAGTTAATACATACACACAAAAAAAAATTGTTTTTCTCCCTATTTGTGCAGTACAATTTTCATTGCTTCTATGGATGCTAAGAATCCTAAGATACATATTATGTTTCTTTTTAAAATTTTGTGAAACAGGGAAGTGTCATATTCTTGGGATTGATATGCCTTGTGTGGAATCTTCTGTCTCCAGAAAGGTAATGCTTGTCATTGTGAGTTCTTTTTCTTCCCTCATTTATTGCACTATTTCACGTGAGATGTTATTCATATTCTTTAGAGTAGTCTCTTTGTATGTGTACTGCCCGCTGTTGTTTGAGGTTCTCTTAGCTTAGAGGTGATACTTAAGCTTACCAGGCTTGGAAAAAGATGACTTCGATATGAGAAAAGATGAACCAAATAGTGAAAACATCGTAGTGTCAATGAGAGACCTGTTTAATATGTATGATAAACCTATTTCTAATTTCTCGATGCAGGACGAATCATTCTTCCTCTCTTGTCGAAGATATTCAACTACCATCCTGACACCTGATTCCAGTGACGGTTCATTTCCTTCAGATCTATTAACTAAGAAACGTGTCTCAACTCCAGAGCGTGAGATAGGTACGAGGATTTTGATATTTTCATTAATTGCCTAGTGGTCTGTCACTTCTGCTAGAAATTTTATTATTCATTGTTGTATATGCTGACCGTTAATAGTTTAAACCTGCTTGCCGAATGCTTTATTTGGAAATGTTGGCTGTGTTTGAATGCATAGAACATGAACAACAACAACAACAACTACTACTACTACTACTATGTTTCCATAACAAGCATGGAACAGGATTGGATTGGAAAGCAAAAATGTATTCTTTCTTTTTGATAAGTAAAGGAATTGTATTACAATAGGGGAAAGCCATGTACGGTAAAAGGAAACATATCTAAAGTAAATTTATTTTCACAAAAGCCGTCCAATCATTCATTCATGTTTGGTATTGTGAGTTCAACATTAGCATACAAAAAGTTACAGAAATCAGCTTCATTTGCAGAAGGATCTTTCCTTCCATTCGAAAGTTTTTCAGTTTCGTTCCCTCCATGTGGTCAACATAACTCCCTGGGGAGTCCCTGTCCATGCTGTTCCCCTTCTTTGCTTCCGACACCCAAGCAATGTCTTAAACAGAACTTGGAATTCCCAGCGGACACTGAAAAGATTTGGCAGCAAGTTCCATAACATTGTCAAATACTACGCAATGAATGAGAAAATGGTCATTTCCGCCACTACCTCTCTGCACATTGTAGCGAATCCCACAGTGGATTCGCCATTGAAAACTTGAACGAGAAATTCAAAGAAAGAGAAGAATTAAAAGATAAAAATTCTGATTTTCATTCAACATATGTTCTACAATGAGTCTAACAGAGTATAAAAGCGTGAACTATCTAGTGGGGTAACTAATTCGTTACATTCCATCCCCCTTATAGCAACCTTGTCCTCAAGGTTGGAATTTGGTAATAGTGTGAAACCTCGTTTTCAACCCATGTAAAATCATCATCTGCTTCAAAATTTTTGTCAAGTTATCAAAAGCTAGAAACACCAGTAGAAAGCCTTGGCCTAGCATCCTCATTTCCCTGTTACTATACATGCAACATATGGCCAAACAAACCTTTCTCAGCCACTTATTATTCTTATCACTAAGGACCTTCTCATGAATATTTTTACCCAAATGATCATAAAAATCTATCAACCTTTGAACCTTACTTATAGCTTTTCCAACAGCTTCACTAATTTTCCATATACTTTCTTTTCCAACCTCCTTAAAGGACAAAAATGTTTCACCAGTAAAATGCTTGCGAAAAACAATTGCAAATTCTTGCTCATGAAAGATCACTCTACTGTAAAAATCTTCCATAGCATATTTTACTCCAATTTGGACATAATCATAATGAAATCTATCATGTGTGTCCTGTGAATATCTCGAAATCCACAAAAATATGGTAAAAAACAGTAGAGTAGCTAATACTCTAATAATGAACTCTACAGGAATCATCACTGCCTTCACTTCCTTAACCACTGCACTAGTCAAATGTTGAAGTATGAACAACAGTATAAATCTTCTAACAACATTCACTGCTCCAGTAATTGTGCTACCGAAAGGATCAAACCCCAATGTAGTTTCATTTCTCCTCTCAACAAGACCATAAGTAGAGGAGGTAGCCACACCCGTGTCATTATTTGCCACAGAGATCTTCTCTGATGCCTTCCACATTCCATTAACTGATACCAAAAGAAACCAAAGAACCACAATCAAAATAAACAACCAACCTACTCTGTGTCTGTTAGTGCAGTAAACTTAAGACCCCAACTAACTGAATGACAAACACAACCATTACGATTTCATTGCTCCTATTTGGATGACCCACAATATCTATTATATAGTATTTCCTTGGCACTGATAACATAGTATCTGGATTGCACCACCATGTCTCGGGTTTGTATCATAACCTTGAATAAAGTGATTCCCTTGACAGTAATGGAAACATCATCTCGCTCCATTCAATTTCAATGGACAACAACTCCATAACAGTAAATGAATTAGGAACATGGAAAAGTTCACCCACCAACTTCTTACAGCATTGCTCAACCATGGAACTTCCTACTTCCTCCACTGATAATAAAGTCTCATATATCAAATAGCTCAACAGTGATATGGATAATGCATTCCCAATGCCCTTAATCCAATCAGACATTTGTGAGATGGACAACAATAAAGAGACACACAAGAACATATCTGTAGCTCCTATTACAACACAATGAGGGACTTGCCAGATGAAGCTAAGAGCATTTGAGCCTTCAAATTGTTTAAACATAAAAACAAGTTCCAACTCCCATGTTTCTACAGATACTCTACTTGGTTGAGTACCTGTTACTCCACTATCATCAGTGATAAGCATCAATATCCTATACTTCAGAAGAGGATAAAAAGTTAGTGCGCAAAAGACCAATGAACAAACATCATAGATTTCCTCATTTATCGGCCAGTATTCCCTTCTTCCGTAATATTTCTCCAAGACTTTAAATAAGTACTGATCCTTTTCTATCCACCTTTTCTTATGCAATCCATAAGGGCTCTAACAAATGCAATCTTATTAGCCAACACCTTTGCCTGAGCGATTGTAGTTTCTGAACTATTTTCAGATCCCATAAATACAATGTTAATGATATGCTTATCAAATTCTTTGCTAACTGTTTGAAACTAACCGTCAGTGTAATGGCCAATTAGAAAGGCATCAGTTGTTACCTGCTCATTGCTCATTGCCCTTTGCAATTTCTTTTATAACAAGCTGGCACATTGAACCAACTATAGCAGTATTGGAGGAACTATCAGCACCTCCAGAAAGCAGAAGGAGGAAACCATATGCACCACTGCTTAGATGATCCCATAACCAACAAGCAAGTCTCAACATCCTATGAGCTATTACACCAGCTCCTGAATCTCCCAAAGCAGGAAAACCAACATCAGGAAGTACGCACTTGATATCACCATTGAGAGCCATGAAACATTTTAATAGAAAACTTCCCTTGAAATGACTTGCAAGAAAATTTGGTTGGCCTTCGGTGCATAGGGAATCAACAGATGATGTTCCACCACCTCCTATCCAACCACAAATATCCACAAAACTTTCGGACCAGAAACAAAGTAAGCCACTGAAGAAAAGAAACACGGGATTGCTCGAAGTACCATAAAATAGTGATTCTCGATACTGTTGAGTGCAAACTTTTTAATAGAAAACTTCCCTTGAAATGACTTGCAAGAAAATTTGGTTGGCCTTCGGTGCATAGGGAATCAACAGATCGAGACCAGAAAATTTGACTTGCATAGGGATGTTCCACCACCTCCTATCCAACCACAAATATCCACAAAACGTTCGGACTAGAAACAAAGTAAGCCACTGAAGAAAAGAAACACGGGATTGCTCGAAGTACCGTAAAATAGTGATTCTCGATACTGTTGAGTGCAAACAATCAATCGTGTATTCCACATTCCCAAATTTCTAGAAAGACGATAAACATTTTCAACCATACCGAAATTGGAATGCAAAGCAAAGAAGGAATATTCCACAATTTTGGATGAATCATGACTGGTGTTCACACACAAAACATGCAGCAACTGACCTAACTCAAGTAAAGTAAAATTCCCATCATTGCTCACATCAAAATTCTTTAAGGCATCTCCCATGGATAACCTTACAACTTCAAGTACCCCGTTTCCGGTATTTCTAACTTCCTTCTTCCTTCTTCCTTCTGGTTGACCAAAACTCAGCTTGTAGTTCAGTTTCATCCCTTTGAGGACATTCATCAAACACCTTGCATACCTTGTTTTTAGAAACTTCAGCACCTTCATTTTCTATCGCTGATGGCTTTTCCTCACCTTCCTCATCTAGTTTCAAAGAATTTTGGTCTTCAATGGTAAAGACAAGCACGTAGTTGGTGGAGAATGGAATCACATCGACTTACATCGCATGTTTTGATCTCATAAGGGCTAATTTCCAGAGTTTCATTTGTGTGAGAACTTTAATCAAACATCTGGGCTTCCTCTGTTTTTTTCTCCTCCACATCTTCATCCTTAACTTTCAGGAAACCAGTGGTGGCGTTCGACAATGCCAACGGCTGTTGCAATTTGTCAAACACCCGATCTTTGTTGTTTTCTATATGTTCCATTACTGAATCTCCATCTTCCATTGGAGGGTGACCAGTCTCCAAATAATCATAACCCATTTCGATTCCACCCATTGAGTCTAGAGGTGCTTTAAGTGGTTGAAAATCCGTCTGTGAGCAATTAGTCTCCACATACTTAGCACCTGAGTTCAGTAAGCTATCTAACCCAACGGCAGTCATCGGCACCACCGAACCATCATAGAATTGAACAAAAAAGAAACCCGGATTGTTATTGTCAATCTGATAAGCAAAGGCGGATCTAACATTTAAACTTTATGGGTTCAACTTTTAAGATTTTTAGTATTGAACCAGTTATATTTTTTAAGTTATGAGTTCATGTCTACTATTTATTACAATTTCAGTGAAGTTTTACACATAAATTTATGATCCGCGCCGAAAGTTATGGGTTCAATTGAACCCGTACCTACTATGGTACATGCGCCTCTGTTGATAAGCACATGAAACCTGGTAAGAGTAAGCACTTGTGGGTGAATAGAGATAATTCCATCCTCTACCAGTTGGGTTAGTGAATCCACTGGTCAAATTACCACAGGAATCTCGATAGAAACTTGGATTACTACCAGGACACTAATGATATGCATACGGGTTGCCGGAATCCCACTGCTCACCCTCCGACCTTTGAAAGTTATACTGATTTTGTGAACTATGGAAGGTCCGGAAACGACTTTGATACCATTCGATATCTTGTAACCTTTTGTTCGATCTGTCCATAAAAGCTTGAATCTGTTACTCCAACTGATTCGAACCTCCACTAGACTCTGTCATTAACACCGATGAATAGCCGAGAATCGTCGGCTCTAATACCAATTGTAGCGAATCACAAAGTGGATTCGCCATTGAAAACTTGAACGAGAAATTCAAAGAAAGAGAAAAGAAATTAAAAGATAAA